TCTTTCTCCCTGAGCTTTTTGGTTTGCTTTCTATACTGCTTTCTCTGTGTGACAGCGCAGAATTTTCCAGCTCCAGCACAGACTTCCATGGGCACTTTTCCCTTGCACCTGTGTGGTTCCGCAGCAGGGGTGGTTTTTGCAGAAATTTTCCCAGTGGGAGAGGCAGCTTCGTCACTGGAGCGTGGTGGCTCCCGTGGGATGGTAGTTCGTGGGAAGTGTATATGAATTTATTTTACCATCTAGTCAGAGGTGCTAAATGGCTGGATAAAAAAAGTGAGGCAGAGCTGTGAGTGCTTCAGAGAGGAGCTGAGAAGTCTGGCTCTCTACGTGCTAAAAGTCTTGCCAGCTTCTGAGTGAGACAGCCAGAAGAAGATGAGCAGGGAGGTGCACATCTGGGAATCGTGGCAGCTTGTCATTAGGTGTGATGGAGTCAGAAGTGTCTAGAAGATGACCTAGTTTAATAGCTGAGAGAGAGGAGGGAGGATTGTGGGAAGCTGCTGTTTTCTTTCTCTCAAAGTAGAGAAAAACTCCTCAGCCTTGAAAGAACGATGAGCTACTTTTGTTCCTCAAAAGAGTCGTAGTGTACATAAAAAGAGACGTTGGAGGGATTAAAGCTGTAATAGAATCAATAATGGATTAATATTAACCATAACCCAAGAATTAAATTAGCAGAAGTTTGCTGTAGGCCACACAGTTATAGGAGGCAACTAGCAACAACAACAACAACAACAAAGAAAGAAGTTGAAAAACAGCTTGTGAAAATACAGAAGTTTTCTCACTGCAGTGATGGAAAACAAGACTTATTCTTACTTTAACTGCATCAAATGAAGTGAATACAATTCAGCACATTTGTGCATATACTTTCAGGAAATATTTACTTTACAATAAGCAGCTCTGTGATTCAAACAATGCAGCTAATTACAGAAAGGTGCTTTGGAGGTATTGCTCCAAAGAGCATACATTACCATGAATTACTGTTGGCCAGACATCAGCTGGTTTTACAGCTGGGATTCTTCTGCTACCAGATGAGTTGGTTGGGACTGTAAAAGAGAACAAAACTGGAAAGTGCTAAATCGGTTCATCGTGTTTCTGGAATATTCCAAAGTACTTCAGTGTCTGAGGAGTGAAGGGGGGCAAAAGGAGATGCCTATAGGAGAAACAGAGTATGCAAAAGTTGGAGGTAAGGGAACTATAATATACAGAGTATATAAAGATAAGAGGAAATAGTGATTTTTTAAAATTATATATGAAATTAGCCAGGGAGAAAAGATAAATGCTAATTGCTTTGAAATCTCCATCAGTGATGGGAAGAGTCCACAAAAGGAGCACTGCAAAAGGGAACATATAATGAGGTATTTCTGTGTTACTTTTGAGTAGTATTTTCCCAGATTAATAAATTTTTTAAAATCTGTGATTTACTGCTTTAGAACACCATAAAGGTTTTCATGTTGTTGTTCATGCCACAGCCCAGTACTGTTTGGAGCATAAAGGAATGTAAATGATAAACGAGCACACAAGATTGAAAAAAACAGGCATAAGCCAGTGCTGCAACCACCTGGCCCTGCTGGCAGCTGGGGCATGGCTGTGGAGGTGTGGATCACCTCGTCCCTTTGGGGTGGAGCACCTCCTGAGGATGCTGAGCTGTCTGTCCCACCTCTTCTGCTGGTCCTCACTGCGAGGATTAGAATCTTCTGTGGCCTCCAGCCTCTTTCTTGTATTCTTTCCCCAATTGGTCCTGTGCTCTTGTCATCTTGTGTTTACCCCACTGAGGGTTCGGTCCTGCACACACCTCTTGTTCTCCTGCTGTCTCCCAGGAAGCAAAATGCACAGGACCCTCCAAACTCTGGCTCTTCCAGCCATGTTTTTTTAAACTCCTGTAGCCTTTACTCTGTGGAAGGATGTAAACTGGGTGGTTTTTTTTTCTTTGTGGTTTCCCCCCCTCTTTTTTTGTTTTATTTTGTTTTGTTTGTTTGTTTTTATTTTCCCTATTGAGTTTACATTTTCAGAATTACACTGATGGTATTTATTTCAATTTTGGGGAGATAGAGACTGTAATCAGAGATTGAAGTCTCCTGTATAACTGGCTGCTGCTGTTCAGTGAGGGAATGAGCAGCAGTTCAACTGCTGGTAGGGGAGCCAGCGGAGAGCCTGAAGGGACTGGCTGCAAGCAGATCCTTCACACTCTTCTTGCATTTAGAAAAAAGTCTAGATGTTGGATACTTGGAGAAAAGAGCGGAGAATATTTGGACATGGACGTGTAAAGTTGCCCAAACTTCACAAATCCATGGCAAAAATCCTTCATAAAACTGTCTTGCATAGAACAGGAAAAAAACCCTCTAATTCAGAGGAGACCATGCAATCTAACTGTCAAACCTGAACTGGATTAAAGCACACTGATTTCTGTAGCTGTGGCAACTTTCTGTGTAGCCTCCTATTTTTAGAAATGGAGTCAAGGATAAGATTATTAAAACATTCCTCATATCTGATGCTATTGTTGTGATAGTATAGAATATTGTTTCTCTATATGTGGCCTTATTAAATATACCAGCAAGGCTAAACCCAAATGTTTCCTTTTGTTGTTTTCCAAAGGATTCATCCCCCCGAATTCTTCAAGAAAAAATACGGTGTGGATGAAGCCCACTATGTGACCGAGGTGAGTTGTCTGTGTCCCTGGACATTCTTTTCTCTGAATACAAAATCAATAAGTAGCAATGATTTTGCTTAATTTTAGTCCTCTGCTTACTGGATGTCTCCTGACTTAGTGGGACCTTCTCTCCCTCCCCCTTTACTGGAAAATGTCCTTCTGTCTTTTAAGGCGCTTGTAAATTTTTATTATTTTTTTTAAGGCTTCCCTTAAGTTCTTAATCCAAAGGCAGTCTCATAAATGTGTCTTGTGCATGATGAGACTTGTCAATCTGCATCTTTATCCAGCAGAAATTGTCACTAAATACCTTTTTTTGCAATGCCTTGGAGATTTGAGGAGATTGCTGTCAGGGAGGTTGCACATCCTATCTCTGATTTGGGAGCCTGCATTTATTTTATGCCTCCGAAAAGCTGTGAGGACAGGCTGCCTGCCTCACTCTTATTTTCTGTAGAACCACCTTATTGCTTGAATAAGCAAATATATCCACATTTCTGAGTGCAAGTGTGCCTTGCTTAGTTAGGTTTGTCATTTCATTCCCGAGCAGGTGTTTGTATCCTTGTGCACCTGGCCAGCTATCTTTCCTTCGGTAGGAAGGCTCAGCAGGGCCAGGACAGTGTTCCTGCCAGGCTCTGGGGGGGATTGTCATGGAGAGCAGCTTGAAGGAGACGACTCTGATACTTCTGTTCCTGCAGAGCACTGACTCTGACTGTCTAGACCAAAAATTTTGCTCTTGCCAGCTGTGTGGAGGTTTCATTTCATTTTCATAATGAGTCCAGCTACGAAGTGAAGTTTGATCTGTATGCCAGAGGCTGGGAGTGGAGGAAGCTGTGGGGAGGTTGCTTTTTGACATGTGTGAGTTGGAGTCGTGTGGAGTGGCAGGCACTCCAATGCTCGTCTCTCAGACAGTGAAAATTGTAAGTGGGAAATACATGTTTCATTTTTAATAATCATATTCTTTTGGGTCACCTTGGTTGTCTTGGGTCACTTTCCATCAGCAACTGTCTTTATTGCAGTTCTATTCTCTGCTTCCTTACTGCCTAAAAACATCATTAATGGGAAAAAGAGAGCTCTTTATGTGGACCAGTAAATAAAATTAAAAAATAAAGGCTCCTTTTGACCTGGCTTATATGTACTGAAGTGAGAAGCTGTTGGAGCTTGCAGCAAAATTGTCCAGCTCCCAAAGGTTCTTTCTATAACTTTTGCCTGGTTTGCCAAGGAATGGGTTTGCCACCATCAGGACACTAGGGGCCTTATTTATAGGAGTGCTTTAGGTCAACAGATAACCAGCTGGTGTGTGTTATCCTGATGTTTTGTGAGATTAAGAAACAAAAAAATAAAAGGGTGGAATTGGTGTTTTTAAACCTCAGTGCCATATGCTTTCCTTTGATCATATCAGTAACGTGCTGTTAAACTGGTTTAAAATTGGTAGAACTGTGCTCTGTGGAATTATGTCACGTGTTCATTGCCTCAAGAAGTGTGGGGTTCAGTGCCCACCTTTTGCAGCTGCTCTGAAAGCCCAGCTCTCCACAGGCCCAAAGATTTTATTCTTAGTTTGTGAATGTTTGGAGGAGCCTAATAGAAGGATTAGTCAGTAAAAGGTGACTGGTTTACTAGTAATAACAAGAATAAATGTTGATTGCTAATCATTTAGCACGTTGTAACGTAACAATATTAGTGCAGGTGTGTTTTCTATGCAGTATTGTGTTGAGGGTTGAGTATTCAGTTTTTTCTTATTTCTGTGTGACTTTACAACTTCCTGGCTCGTATGTTGTGTCTTCCTAATGATGACAATAGACTTAAACTTCAGTGTAGTTGGTATTTCTGACTTTAAAGGACACCAGCAACCTGATCACTGCATTTCTGTCTAAATATTTGTATTCTGCTGTCTCTTATTGCATGTCTCAGGTAATACAGCATTTGAAAGGTATCAGGGGAACATTTTTGTCTTTGCAGCTTGTTTACTTTTTATGCAGTGAATCCATGATGGCATTGGTATCAATGTGATTATGAAAAAGAAAAAAAAAAAGGAAAAATAACAGCAATCTAAAACTTCTTTTTAGATATCCAGTGTCTTGGCTTCGAAGAAACCTGCTGTGCTTCTCACTTTGGTAAGTTATATTCTGAAGAATAAATTTTCCTCAGTAAGGAGATGAGTTTATTTAGCATTTCTTTGCACTGTCACTCCCTCTCTTTTCCTCACAATCTTATGCCAAATTTGAGGCCACCTGTGTATAACAATTTAGTCTTCTGGCCCCTCTGTGATTTCAAGATTTGTAACCTGTGGCCTCATCCAGTCTGCATTCTGCCTGCCAGAAGCTCTATTGGTTTTCTGCTAAAACATGGCAAGCCTGTCTAACAATCATCCATGCTCCTGGTCCTGTCTACAATGACTCCAAACTCCTTTTTCCTCTTCTGTCCCCCTTTCTGGTCATGTCAGGAGCATCTTTGGGCTTTTCTGTGGGAATCCCACAAGGATGCCGGGAATACTTTTCCCACATAGAGTGGTTTAGTAAGAACAACTTCTGGAAGGAGGGAAACAAGTATTTTATATGGTGCTTACTTATTTCTTTGGAAGAAGGATCAGTGAGTAGGGGTAAAGACTGCAAGTTCCTTCTTCCCTGTCATCTCTCTCTGGTTCTTTCCTGGTTTACAGAGTTTTTGTAAACCCTCTCACTACTAAAAGTATCTGTTTTATTGTCTCCAGTATAAGAAATGACTTGCTGACTCTGAGCTTTCCCTTACAGCAGAAGCAGTGGCAGCTCCTGGATTTCTTTTCCCATGATAGTGATCAGACAGAAGCCTTAAAAAAAATTCCCTTCTCAAGAAGTCACATGGCCTGAGATCTGAATTCTTTATCCTTTAAGGACAGAGGCCCGAAATAGTTTTTAGTCTTTCTTCCATTTATATTTGTATACACATACATACACTTAAAAGATGCCTCTATGTCTTAATTTCATGTTTCTTAAGAGAAATGAGGGAAATGGAATGTTTGACCATCCTGTGCTTCTTACTGTGCATTTTCTGCACGTGGAGTTGCTGAGTAGTTACCACTCTGTGAGCATCCTGTTGTACTCAGGAATTTTCACATGATTTTTGGCTGAGAGGATGGTGCTGTGGGGCTTTCACGGCTCCCACTGCCCTGAAGAAGTATTCAGGGAAGGGAAAAGCACTTCCCTTTCCCCTGCCAGTGGAAAGCTTGTCCTCTCCTCCTGTGGTCTCACTCCAGATGCAGACCTGGAGCGCTGTAGGGTTTCCCAGGCACATGTCATAAGTGTTCCTCTGCTGGGTAGCAGCCAAAATACTCCTGCTTATGCTGCTTGCTTGGATGGAAAGCTGTGGGGGAGCAGCAAGCAAATTTAAATAGTAAGCATTGCCAAGGCAGGGCGTAATAATTTATTTTAAAATGAAATTACTTTAGAAGAAGCCTTCCCTGTTTTTCATTCTCCTGCCCTTTATAATTATTATAAAGGTCTCGCAGCTCTCTCTCAAGACAAGGGCATTAGAAATCAAAGCTTGTCTTTTTCCTGAGCAGCACATCCTGACCGGAGTTCTGCTCTGGTCTCCTGTGAAACTGATTATTTGTTATATTGAACTGCATTTGAACAAACAGTCTGGGCCTTGTTATTTACAGAGGTTCAAGTAAACTTATGTCTAAGTTGTCTTAAAGACTTACTGCAATTGGGTTCTCCCCACAATTTAAATTTTAAACACCTGTGTTTGGCTCATAATTATGGTCCTTTTAATCCTTTTCCTCCCAGCGTGGCGTTAATACCGACAGTGGAAACGTCTCCAAAGAAGCTTCATTTGAGGGCATCAGCCAGTAAGTGACAAGGCTTTTTTATACACTAATGGTTGCATGGTTATGTTGAACTCATTTTATATTTCAAATTAAATGATGTTTTTTTCCTAATGACAGGATGTTGAATGGCAGATCAGGTGCTGAATATTTTATTTCCAAAGAAATTTTGATACATTTTTCTACTGACTTGAAATAGAGAGGTTTTGGTTTTTTTTAATCTCTTTTCCATCTAAGTTAATCCAATGTTTCTCTTTTTCTGTGTTTGCTGTAACTATTTAAACCCAAATATACCCATCCTCTTATGTACATTTCCACTTTTGGGATTGGAATATTTGATTTTCAGATTTCAGAAAAATTAATCTCTAATTTCTTTCTTTTACTGACTTCCTTGCACAATACTGAGCTTGATATCAGGAATTCTGGTAGGCACGATATTCTGAAAAGATGTCGCATTGCAGGTGTAAAATAAAATCAGAAATTACAAAAAATAAGATCACTGCCTAGATGTGATCTTTTAGTGTCCCTTGATGTTGTCTTTTTGTGACGTTTGACTACTAGTGGGCTTAAAATGCCTTCCTGCATGTGGTATTTTGAAAAGGCAGAAAATAAAAACACATCACAGCTTGCTCTGGGGTGCGAGGACGATGGGCTCAATTTTTAATGAAATAAAACTGTCTGTTCTGTTCTGATACCTTAAAATGAGATCATCTTCTGTTTTAGCTCAAATGTGTGGCAAAAAAGAAACACATTGCTCCCATTAAAAAGCCTGTTAAAATAAACACTGGTGCTGAGATGTTGAGGCCTTTTTCTATGGTTGGTCCTTGTGTCCCACTCACCCCGCTGTGTTTTCCTCCCTCTCTGTCAGCAGCACGTTAGTCCTGCAGTGAAGATGGTCCTGCACAGAACTTGCTGCAGGTTTGGGCTCTCAGTTGTGCAGTCTGAGAGCCTTTCTGCTGGGATCATCTTTTCTCTGTGTCAAGTGATCTGCAGTCTGATTCCATAATAACTTTGTGCTCCCCTCTGCAGCAGAAATGGGAGCTTAATGGTTCTGTCAGGGTTTTTTGAGGACCCAGGTGCCAGGCATTTAAACACCTTTTGTGAATTAAATATAAACTATTCCATAATGCATAATTCCATTAATACTTTCAGAGAGTGTTTGGTGTCTGTTCTGCTGTTACAACCAATGTGAGTTCTGCTGCTTTGACCACACAGGTAGTCATCTTATGCTGTCCAGGTACAGGTGGACTTCAAAGTCTGTGTGGAGCAATACCTCCAGTTTTATCTGAAACACCTCTGCTTGAAATATAATCAGTTATTAACTCCAGCAGTAATTCTTTATTGGAGTGATGTACAAAGGTCTGCTTGAAGTACCAAAAAACCCTTTCTTTCCCCCCTGAATTTCACTAAACACTAGAGTTTAATTAATTAGTAAGACATTTCACTAGTCAACATAAAGCTAGGAAGCCACTCCATTTAGCACTTGATTTGAGATTTTAATAGCATGTCTCCTACAACACTTAAAGGGATTAATGATGTTTAAGCACTGGCTTCCTGGTTAGCAGTAAAGATGCTGTTGGTGTGCTCCAGGAGTGCTTCTCCATTCCTTAGGGGTGATTTCCAGCTGTTTAGCAGATACTTCTCCTCTGAGGCTTGGCACATGCTCAGCCCTCTCCACCCCTAGGCACCGGGTCATTCATTTTGCTCCCTTTGACAGCTCTGGTTGGTATCTTGCCCTCCAGTGCTCATGGTATGGAACAGCGTGCATTGATTTTGTTGCTGCATCAACTCCCCTCATCTGACAGATACTGCACCCTCAAACCACTTGTTGCTCCAGCTTTCCCTTAATCTTCCTGATGCTGCTTCTGTCTCTGGTGTGCGTGGTCCATCAGGGGTCCAGAGGAGGGGGAGAGCTTCCTCAGGTTTTTCTAACTGTGTGTATAAACCAGTCCATCTGATACTTGTTTTCAGCACAGACCCGAACCAATGGCAGCATTCCTGCTTCTCCACCTCTCCTGGAGCCAATCTTTCCTTTATAGAAACATGTATTTTGGATGTGTTGGTGGTTTCCAAGGGGACTAAACCCACAGAGTTTATACTGAGCAATGTGTCCCCTCAATCTGCCCTCCCTCCCTCCTGCCTGGGGCTGTGCCTTGCTGGCTCTCTCCATCCTTGGCTCTGCCCTGGAGAAGATGCTCTGATTTTATTCCTGGGCCCCTGTTTGTTTCTGTTTTCTGGCTGCCTGGCCAAGATCTATTTCTTGCCAGGGCTCTTTTATGTTCCTCCTGCTCCCATATGTGTTTTTTTTCTCCTAGGCTGACTTGGCCTGCTGTGGGGTTTCCTTGGTGGGTTTTTTTGATGATGGATAATACTGGAAATAATGGATAATTTCCTGAAAGAGCTGAATCTCGCTCTCTTTGCAGGCTGTTCCTCAGCTTCTGTCAAGAAGCTGTCTTTTTCTTGCCCTAATGATGTGGCTTCCCTGCCTTTTTGAACTTCTTCTGGAACGTTATTACCTAAGCTATTTGATTAATTTTCGTAGTGCAATAAATAGTCATTTGAGGCAAAATGACAGCTGTGGTCATGGGTTATTTCTGTGCCCTGAAGATCAACCCTAAGTCATTTTTGTCGTGCTAGCAGTAGTCAAACTTGATTTTATCCTGATTATAGAGCCCATAATAGTGAATTATATCTTGGTTTTCATTAGTTCCTGTGTTGCCCTCAGATGGAGACCGGTGGTTCGTGGGGAGCTGCCCCTCTCAGCAGAGGGTGGTTCTGTGGTTCAGTGGAGGGACCAGTGTGGGACAGGGGCTTAGGACAGGAGACCTGCACTGTTCACTAATTCTGTATTCCTGGTAGCTCCCCCCAGATCAGTTTAGTTTGCAGAAGTGACTTGCTCTCTCTCTTGCTCCAGATGCCTCAAGCGTGGAAGGCAGATTTCTTTTCTAGAAATACATATTTCTGTTTTCTAATAAAGGCCAACTTCTGTGTTGGTGGTTTTCTTTCCCTAATTCATAGACCTGTTTCTCAGCCTGGAAAATGTGCAGGATTTTTTTTAGTCTAATCATGTCACTTATGTAGTCCTTGCAAAAATGCTTTGGGAGGATGTGACTCACCACACAGAACGTGGATTTTGAACCTGTACTGTTGAACAGTCCTGTGCCATATACTTTAAAAAAACCCTCTTGAATAAATCTTTGCTCACTGTGTTGATTTTTTTTTTTCACCCTCAGAATCAGTTGATGTAAATGATGGACAGTTTAAGCAGTTGTACCTAATGTTTAAAGTTTTGCAGTGAATTTCTTTCCCTCAGAACTGCACCTGTTGGGTATGACAGTGAAGACCACCTAAATGTCCTTTTTGTCATGCTGGTAATGAAGTCAGTCATTAAAAGAGCGACTCTCCATGCTGAGGAGGAGAAAATTCTAACATTGTGTATGAATATGTTTTAGATTTTTATCACTGTAGACACACAAAGTGTATTTGTTAAACTGACAAAAAAGAGGTCTCATTATCGCGTGCTATTACACGGGAGGTGTAGATTTCTAGGGGGTTTTTAACTAATGAATTTGCCTTGCATGTTAGAGGAGAACTGAGTACGAAATCAATTTGGACATGCCTTTAAGTGGACTATTTTTTACTTCTCTGTTGATTAAATGGGAGCATTAATATGTTACAGATTGCAACTGTAGCAAATGTCAATTTGTTTTCTTCCTCAAGACCACATATCTCATCATCTAAGTATTGTCAATTTGCAAATTGCAGAAAAATGTAGAATTAGATTGCTCTGCGTGATCCTCTTAACGTTAGGGCAGTACATGTTTTGTAAGAGTAAGTTGTTTACTGTCTAGTGAAATCAAAACTTTGCTGGGGGGCCAAGGCAGGGTGATTTTATGTGGGGGTTTGTGCACAAATTACGTGAGTTAAACACTGTTCGTGTACTTGATGGTGAAAAGCTCTTCCCCTTGAGTGTAAGCAGTAGCTTTTAGGACATGGTTTGTTTAGCTGCCTTGTGGGTAAATGTCCTGATTCTGGCCAAGACAGGGTTAATTTTTTGCAATAGCAGGGAGGGGGCATGGCCAGGACCCCGATTTATTCTGTCCCTCCTCACCTCTTTGCTGGGGGCAGGGAAACTCTCCCTCTCTTGGGAGCAGAAGGGGTTCCTTCCAGGGGAGAAGTGTGGAAGGTCCACTGTTTTGTTTATTGTCAGGGTTTTTCAAAACCATGTAAATAATTTGTCTTATACCTTTTATTATTAATATTGCTGCTGTAACTGTTAATTTTCTTATCTCATTGCTGTTCCCAGTCAGTTGCTCTTATCTCAAATCGTGATCTTTGCCTTTTGTGCTTCCAGGTGGAGGGGGGAGCAGTGGCATGGTTTTAGTGGGAGCACTAATTTGGGAAGCACCATTCCTAAAGCACAGCAGCAACCACAGTGGCACATAATTTGAGTCACCTGCCTTAGAAATCTCACAATTGTAAACAGGTGGCCTTGCAGCCGCTCACACAGAACCCACAGGCTGAGTGGGGCTGGGACAGTTCAATCTTTAACTGCCTTGGAAAAGTGACCTACAATAGATTCTCTCCCACAAATGAATTGCTGTTGTGTCCTGGAGGTCTAACATCTTGTTTTCTACTTGACACTGCATCACAAAGTCTGTCTTTCGGGTGAGAGATAAAACTGCTGTTCACCTGATGAGCTCCTGCCTCTCCTCCACCCCCAGCACCCTCTTGATTCAATCCTGCTGTCTCTCTGTCTGTTGAATTAGCTGCCCCAGTTGACAGCAATGAGAATTTTAAGGAGCTGCCCCGTAGTAGGTGGTCCCAGCCAACAGGTAAAACTTGCATTTCTGGCAGCACAGACAGTTCAAGAAGAGCCTTTATGTCCTGGAAAGGTCAAATCTGGGGACTGTGATGCAGATGGTACATCTCTGTGTCTGAAATGGCTTTCCTAAAACTGTTATTTGAGCTATTATAAACCTACAGCACTGTACAATTTTCCCCCTATTTCCTAATGCTCGGATGAGAGAGTCTTCTGTTGTGAGGTTCATGTTTGGCTCGTTTGATTTGCTTTGGATTTCATCCTTTTGTGGTTGTGGTTAAAGAGAGCACGTCAGGTTCTCGAAATGCGGATTTTCAGAGTCTAAGCTGGTGCTTTTTGTAACTGCCCCTCCCTGCCCTTTATTTTCTTTTGTTCCTTTACACTAACCATAGTTTACTCTTATTTGCATAGAGCTGGAGTTGGAGCTTTCTGCAGTGCTGCAGGGTCTCCTTACACTTGACTTCATTGATCTGTTTTCTGTCTGACATATATTGGGAGTTTTCTGCCTGTTGTTACAGCTGCAGCTTAATTCTTCTGTGTCTTGGTTTTCTGTGGTGGTGTCAGTTGGTGTGCTTTCCAGCCAGGCAGGGAGCTCAGGCTTTTGGGTTGTTAGTAATGTTATAGATTGATTTTTTTACTATGTCATTCATATATTTTCCTCTCTATAAATTTGTATTTTACTGTCTCTTCCATTCCAGAATCATTTCTGCATTGATGTACATAGGTAATTATTTTCGAGATGGTGATGATTAAATGGAAAATGTGCCCTTTAGATACTTTCTTGTTTCCAGGTGACCAGTTTTATTCCATGATGATGCATTGTTCTGTGACTGGTGGCTTTTTGTGTTGAGTGATTTTTTTTACAGTGATTTCTCATTAATACCCATAATGCTGAATACCATACAGCTTGTCCTTGTTGAATACTGTGATAAGTTTTTGCTTTGTATCTTGGATAGGAACACAGAGTTATCAGCCTTCTTCTTATTAGGATTTTGTAAGTTTATGAGCATCTGTTTCTGAAAAAGGGGTTGTTTTCTCCTTTCTGAGGATGTGGGAAGACCCTTGGACAATTAGAAGTGACTTCTAAATAATTTTTAAAATTGGATTTGTGCTTTAGTTGGTCCCTTCTGAGGTATAAAGAATGGTTAATAACCTGGAATAGATTTAATTTTTCCTTGAAAAATGTGGGAAAATGAATTGTTGCCTTACAACATGGTTTTGAAGAACTGTTGGGAGCCTTGGAGCATTTTAATTCTCTCAAAAGCCATAACTGAGGAGCCAACAGTCCTGAGTCAGACGAAAATATCCTTGATGCAGAACACTCCTTAGGCATTTAAATTGTAAGCAAAAAAACCCCTTGAACAATGTTTGAAAATCCATTTGTGTTCCACCTAATTACTCAGCTTCTTACTCTATTGGCCACTGCAGTGTTATTGTTTAGAGGGCCTCAAAATAGTTCCAAGAATACATGAATTGCTAATGCAGAAAATAAACAGAAAAGCAGTTAGAGGCCAAGGTGAGGTGGAAGCTTTTGCTTTGCCTCTCCTGTGATTGGAAAAGACACGGAGAGTTGTTTTCCTTTTCACGATCCTCCAAGCAAGCTTGTTTATCACATGCCACCTTCTGTGCACGCAAAAATGGGAAGGCACAAAACAAAGGCTGAAATCAGCAATTCCTCGTGTTTAATTTCATTGAGGGGTGTTTGAGGAGCAAAGTTAAAATCCCAGCATAATTTGGAAGGCACCTTTGGAGGTCACTCTGGTGGAAGAAGGGTAATAAGTATGTCTCAAAAATACTGTTACTCTGGGTTCTGTAAATCCTTAAAATTATGTATCTGACTTATTCTTATGTGTTTCAAAATTAAATGCAGTGAAGGTGAGTGTATGCAGTCTCCTCTATGCTGAACTCCCAGACAATATTTGCTTTCACTTCACTTTACTTCCTCAGAGAAGACACAGTTTAAAAAAAAAAAAAAAGAGTAAATACATGTGTCTGGCTGCTTTTTCAATATTGATGTCTTTTGGTTTTTTGTAGATTTAATGTGAACAACAAAATCCTTCATCCTGAAATTGCAGAATGGTGAGTAGCATAAAACCTTCCTCTTTGAGTGCTGTTGAACATGCTTTTATTGTACCATTGCTGCAGAGAGATTCCTTCTGCAGAAGCCTCCTACTTTACGATCTGAGTTTTAATTTTAAGCTGATTTCATGTTATGGAGTGGAAATAATGTGCAAAAGTAAAAACAGGGCTAGGTAGCAGCATTTTCAAAAGCAAAGAATTCATGTAACATTTCTTTAACGTTGTGTCTGGATACACATTTTTATAGGGTGTGTTAGGAGTTAAGTCACATTCATGTAAATATGAATTTGTATGAATAAGAAGAGAACTGAGGATAATTTATATTCTGGCAACAGAAATCAAAAGTAGATCAAAACTTTGAACAGGTAGTATTTTATTAGGTGTTATTCCTTCTCTAGGATTTATTTTAGTAGCCTTCATTTTGTTGAATTATTATTCATGTCACTATCCTTTTAATTCTTTGGGAATTCTGGTGTAGCCTATCTGGGATAGACAAATTAGAGTGTGAGTAAATGCAAAACTACTGCATTTTACCAGTTTTCCTCCCTTGATCAGCATTTCTGACTCTGTCCTCAGGATTGTTCCATAACTGAGGCTTTCTAGTTTTCCATTTAGGAAATTACCTGAAGATAGAACATTTTTGTTAATGAATTAGGTTTTTATCTATGCTTTTTTTGGTATATTAATCTAGAAATGAGGAAGTAAATCCTTAGTTAAGACAGATAAGCCTAAATTCTCAAAATACAAAAGGCAAGTGTACACTCTCACTATCCCTGTATTGTATTGTGTGCTACTACATTTATCATTTTTAATGTTTATTATTAGCACATAGACTGAGAACTGTCTGCTGCTGCCTTCATCTGCAGCTAATTGCCAACTTGAAAGCTGTGGAGCTGTTTTTTGAACATCAAAATGGTTTCAGAAGATGGAGAGTTTTCAAAAGGTGACGTTTCTGTGTAGCAGTGGGGCTCATTGCTCCTGCTCACCAGTGTAAGGGGGAATGTGAGGGCTTTGTGGCACAGAAGGCTCAGGGAACTCATTTTTAAACTTTGCCTGTTTTGTCCTACTAGAATTTGGACCCCAGTACAGAAGAGAGGGAGATGACAATTTGAGCTGCAGAAGGCTTTGGATCAGGCCTGCAGACTTGTTTCAGCCTGTTTCCATCCCCCTCTCCAGGGTGTCACCAGATAACTTTCCTCCTCTGTGGTTTCAATTAATGGGTGGTTGAATGTTCTTCAGGAAGCTCAGGTGCAGGTGACCATGAGGTCCATGCCCTGGAGGTTGTACTGAGAGAGGGAGAGCACAGTAGAAAGGCAGCACTTGGAGCTGGGGTAGAGAGAATCATCTCTTCAGTGATCTGTGAGTGCCAGCCTGGACTTCTGACTTTGTCCTCCCTGCAGTCTCGGGGAAGAGGAATGCTTGGGGTGCACCTTCCCTCCACCTGGCTTTCAAGGAAAGGAAGTTCTAGGTGAAGCCAAAGCTCAGATTTGCATTCAGAAGTGTTTTAAAAGGTTTTATTGGGTTTGGTGGCTTTCATTTTGAGTCAGAAGTGTGTTAAAGACTATTGTTAGGATTTAAGTGTCTGCTGAAATCGATATGAGAATGACAGGTTATGTATATTAAGGCTTACTAAAGCAGAAATCTCCTTGGAATGTCAAGTTACTGCCCAAGAAAATGTCTTTGGAAAGCAATAATATTTTTAGAATGAAGAAAATTTTTCTTTTAGGAAGATGAATTTTTGGGTTGTATTCTAGGGTAGGAAACTGCATCCTTTGAATCATCTCCTTGCAGGGATGCCTATCATTTCAGATTCAGCAAGCTCTGAACTGCTGTGTTTTACATGGTGCTTGTCAGAAAAACTCCTCTGTGCCTTGCTGTCAAACCACCAGCAAGAGATGAAATGGCTGAGCTTTCTGAACCAGCCAGGGAGAACTGGGAGCTACAAAAAGACAACTCCAGGATTATACAATCCTCTAATAAAATGCAAAAAAAAAAAAAAAGATGGTTCAATACTGACAAGGGGCGAAGCATTTGTGATTAAAGGATCTGTTGCCTCCCTTGCTTATTCATCCTTTTCCAAGATTTCAACGTTTTCTGACTTGGAACGGAACATAAGGATAAAACAGAGAAGAACTTGACCTTTGGATTTTTTTTTTTTTATTTTTTATTTTATTTTATTGAGTGGATGCGTTTCCAAACAGATTTAAAAAACTTTCATTTTAAACTTAAGGGCTTCCATTTCAGATTTGATAGTGAAATGTATACACTAAGTATTGATTTCAGTGTTTTGGAAAGAAAACGTCATGGAACAGAAGATGAAATGCAAACTTGTCGGAATTATCTCCCTGTTAATCAGAAGGAGGGTTTTCTAGACTAGCACTTAGCAAAATGGCCTTTTGTTACTGTATTTTACCAGTGTCTGCCTACCATAATTGTGGTGGTGCTAGAAGTAAACATTTAGCAATGTGCAGCTCTTTTTGTGCCTGTTTATACTGTATTTTCCTGTAACCCCAGTGAAAATGGGATTTGATGGTTATAACTGGAAGATTTCATATGTTCTGTATTTTGTATTACTTTGATGGAAAGCTATAATTATTTCTTTGGGGAAAGTGATCTGTATGTTACTGTCTTAAAGCCGTGCATATGCTTTTTGTGTTTTCAGAGGTTTTTCTGCCAGTGTTATAAACCTCTTAACATGTTTTTGAACTCCTATGTTTGGTGTTCATGCCCCTGAATTTCAGAATTGTGCTCTGATGCCTCTCCTTTGCATTTGATCCTAACTCAGCGAGTTTTTATGCCTTGCAGAAGAGCATAAATATATCAACTGTGGGAGAGAAATTTCCAAAAATAAAGTGTGGAAAGGTAACGGCAGAGGTGGGAAAGGGTGAAGGCGAGGCAGGACTGCGGGGTCTGCCTACATGGGCGTCATCTCCACTTGTTAGGTGGTCTGTAAATGTAATGTTTCCAGAAGGACAAGGAGGAGTGGATGTTCCCAGCTGTTTTCCATGCACGTCACAGGCAGGAGGCATTAAGGTTGTGCACATGTACTAAAAAGCAGCAAAACCAGGTGTCTGATAAAACCCTGAGCTGATAACTGGAAACAAATACTTCTGGTGGTGTGATCAGGGCTGCAGAGGGCACAGAGAGAAGCAAACATTTGTGTATCTTCGAGGAAAGCACCAGTTTGGGAAAATATGATCGAGTTAGGTGAGTTTCAGCTTCCTAATTGCCTCGAATTCTGTATGCTCCTGACCACTTGATGAGGCTGGGCATGAAATTTGGTATCCAGGCGTTTAAAATGCCCAAATGTGATTTCAGGATTGAAATGATGCTTGTTTATATTAAAGCTTCCCTCTCCTGTTGGATGGCTGATATGTGTGAAAAGACCAGCTGCTCATCTGGCCAAGTGCAAATAAAAGCACAGAATGTGTGCAAAAGAGGAGAATTAGGAAGAGGAAATGGTTTTACAGTGTTAAAATGAGGGGAAAAAAAAAAAAAAAGCTGAAAATGTTAGGCCAGTCCTGACAGTCAGAGACTTGTGCTTGTCTTTCAGCTTGATGGCACTGAGTGCCTGTTAATCTGAGGGCTGCCTTCCGTGCTGAATCTGTCCATTTTCACAGTTGCATTAGCTGGAGTCTGGAAATTATTTGTTCCCATTAAAATATTAGTGCATTTATGCAGAGTGTGTGACTGGTCCAAGAGCTGTTTTTAAGAGAATGTTGAAGTTCATGAACAAAGGTGGGGTTTTCTTCCTATCCTTATTTTGGATGTGGGGGGAGTAAACCAGGGACTTTTTTGGTATCTAGTAGTGATCCTGTTCCCTGCACATCCTCCCTCCCTTCCCTGCTGATGGTTGGGCAGTGGGTTTTGTTGGTCTCAGAATGACTAAACATCTCCTGTAAAATATTTCACTGCCTGATCTTGTGTAAATGAAGGGGTTGCATTGCATAAAAACTGTGTCCGAGGCTGAGCATGAATTTCTGTATTCAGAAAGATACCTGAGAAACTGTGATCCAAAATAAATACCTTGAGCCCTGAAGCCTTATGTCCAAGTCGAGGAAAATGGGTTTTAATACTGTTTGCACTTGCTATGCAGCAGTTACTAACTTGTATTACTAGCAGATTCCAGCAGAGATTAGACAACTGAATTATGAAACAACCTGTTTTTCAGGCACTTTCAGATCAGGAATATGTACTGTATATTGAAAGTAATATAAAGGCACATCAAACCAGTATTAAATTACCTTGCTAGCACATGCAGTCTTCCAAAGAACAGGATTTAAAAAAAATAAAAAAAATCTATAAGCCTTTGCTACCTCATTCTAACTGGAATGTATCTGAGCCACAGTTTTTTATGTCTTGGTTGAAAGACAGAAGCAGAAATTTGTTTCCTCACCCGTGGTCAGCAGAGTTTACCATCCCAGTGTAATTTTTTGCACTTTGGTGTGCATTTTAAAACCTTGTTCTTTACGTTCTCAACGTGCATGATGATTATTTTGTGTCATATTCCAACTGGCTAAGAAAGTCAGTCAGTTCCCCCCTGCTGCGTTTCTGTTTGTAAACGCATTTTGGTCGATATTGGGATTTTACAAAGGCACCTTTGCTCTTGCCAGAACGCTGGGTTTGAAGGGGAGTGGCTGAGCTGTAGCAATGCAATAATCACTGTCGGTGGGAAACGCTCTGATCTCACCTCAGAGGCACTGATGGCTGAGAAACCTGTTTCCTGGACTCACTAAAAGAAACTGCAGGAGCAGAAATACAGCAAATAGTTTTCTGCAGCAGCGTGAGGAGGAGCGTGGTGCAGTAAAAAGGGGTGTCTTGGTGGCAGTTTCGAAGCACAACAGTCGTGGTGCTTTGTAACTGCTGCAAACTCTGGAGTGGAGATGGAAAACACAGTTTAAACGTTTTCATGCAGTTCCAGAGATGTAGTTCTGTGCTTTGTAAACAGTGAGAATGTACTTCACAGCTGCCTTAGAGATAGGCATGAAAAATACTGGGAATTCAGTATGTGTAGCAGTGGAAAGAGCATGTGGTTTTTAATAGGAATTATGGAACAGTGCTTTCCTGTCCATGTCCCAGTAAACAGCTGCTTTTATTTGAAATACACGGTGGAAATACGTGTAGTAGAGAAGAATTAAATGGTAAATTTTTGAGATGAGTTCAGAAGAGAGTGTCAAGGCACATAAAACTTATACAAATTCATTATCTCGTAAGAGCAGGATTAGGTTTTTAGGGGGTTGCTTTGTTTTGGGGTGTTTGTTTTTTATTTTCCTTCCGAAGCATGTGAAAGGATGGAGATCATGGCTGTATCTACTGCTGCTGTGGTTTCTGAATTTCGTGGTTTGGATTTTTTAATACCAAACAGAAATTGCATTTCTTCACACCACCCCCTGCACACCTTTCGGGGAATTGCAAATAGGTGGGAGTTGGGATTGTGCTGAACAGAAGTTCTGGAGATCTGGGAATTTAATGATGTAAACGAGTTTCAAGTGGTGTTTAAAAAGTAAATCAAGTGTGCTTATAGAAATGTTCCATTTGAGGCAGTGTTTGAGTCATGACAAATGCAGAAATGCATTGCTTTTGTTCCTAATGTATTGTAGAATGAGTTGAAAAAAATGTTGGTTGAACCATTTGTTTATAAGTATTAAACAGGGCAGGCTGATGTTTGAAATGCTCGTGACTTCCCTTTGTAAGATTGTTTTGCTTATGCTGAATCAAAGCCAACAAAGCTTTGCTGTCATGAATACTGTACTAGCTGTTTGCTCTTGGGGTGTACTTGATCTCATCTTCCAATGGGTGATGCATGTTATTTTCAGTTTTTTTTTTTTTAATTGTGTATTCTTAAGCTGTGAAGTTGCAGCCTAACATGCTCTCTGTCCTCCCTCTCTTCAAGTCGTGTGATTAAGACAGACATGGAGTTGGAAGTTCTGCGCTACACCAATAAAATCTCCAGTGAAGCTCATAAAGAGGTAATGGGTCCTTTAGTGTTAATAATTTTTGCTCTTAGTGTAGCAGTGGTGCTCAGAAAATGTTCCCAGCAACCCAGAATTGCTTAGTAATAAAATAATGGAAAGGCTGGCTAGAAATAAGAGGATAATATCCCTCCTATTACAGCCCAGTAATATACCTTGCATTGTCCTTGAACTCACTGGTGCATTTGTGATGTGTGAGAAATGAGGTGTGGTTTTGGGTAAGAGCTGGAGCCTCAGCAGAAGGTGACCTGCTTGCAATCTGTCTGTCCTGTGTGCACAAATACCTACACAGTGATGGAGAAGGAAAAGATCAAGAAGATTAATCAGGCCCATGTCAGCATGTGCAGGTGTGAAAAGTTTAACTATCAGGTAACTCTCTGCAGGTGCTTGCAGACTGGAGAGGTGTTTCCATGGGCAGGGCAGGGAGTCCTTAGGTTGCTCCTCAGAGATGGGTCTGTCCCCCAGGGCAGTGCTGAATCTTGCAGTTCTGCTGCACCAGTGGGGCAAAGACAAGTCCAGGCTCTCAGCAAGGCTGCTCAGGTCAGACCCAGCACTGTACCCTGGAGTTGTGCTGCTCTCCTGGTGTCAGTCCTGTGCTCCATGGAGTGATGCAAAGAGGCCATGAGTTCTGGGAGTGATGATGACCAAAGGAAGCTGAAGTAAAAGTAGCTGATGAGGTAACTGACTCAGCTGCTGGCTTTGCTCCTGCTCAGATTTCTGAACTGGGAGGTGTAAAAATGTTTTGAAGTGAATATTGTAAAATTGAAAAGTCAAGGGATAATCAATTTGCATTCATTCTCCTCGGTTCTTTATCGTCCTTGAGTAATCGTCTCGCATCTGAGAGTATTTTTTCTGTAGATCAGCTGCCTAGAATTTCTATAATACAGAAACAGGAAAAGGAGTAGAACATTCTTAGCAGATCTGAGAACAAAAATAAGATTTATGAGTTGTAAACAAGTGTTAACTCCAGTAGTTTTCTGTTGATTCAGATTGCAAAGTATAAAAGAGAATCTTCCATTGTAGCATAATCCAGTTCATAGCTTTGTTTTGCTAAAGTAAAACAAAAGGACTTGCTGCCAAGTTTGCCACATCTTTCAGAATTAAACACTGGTGTTTTGATGAGCTACACTTCATTAGGATGTAGTAGTTTGGCAATTAAACTTGCTTTATTGCTGGAGACTGCAAGCATTTATAAAGATTAAAATGAGATTGATTCCAATGTAGTTTTAAAATACATCTACTGATATAAATTTAAATAAAGTACAGATGATATTTTTGTATTATAAGTTCCTCTGGAGATAGTCATAAGTCATAAATTTATAAATATGAGATTCCCTCCTGCTATGATTGTCCCATGTTAATATGTATCTTACAGGTAATGAAGGCAGTAAAACCAGGAATGAAAGAATATGAGATGGAAAGGTAAGAGTTCTTTCAATATTTCTAATAAAAAGGAAAAAGTCTCTCTGTAGTAGGGAAAGAAGCAGTAGCTGAGACAAAGCAGCAGTGTGGATTGAGTTGAGACTGAGAGCTCATTGCTGTTTGAAGACCACTGCGAGCATTATTTTATTATTTTGAGGTGGTGCTTCATCACTTCAAACCTGTATTTGATGAGGATTGGTTATTTTTTGGTGACAGGTAAGTGAAATACTCTCCTCCTGGAGTTCCAACAATTTACAGAAGCTTTACGAAATACCTGTTATTATTGTTTGAAGCCACCCGATAAAATGGTGTTCATGGATAAGCGTTGCCCTCAGCCTGGTTGTGCTCACAGGACTGCAAGGACGGGTGTTAAAGCTCACACCTGCACTGGGGGTTCCTGCAGCAGTCCAGGAGTCACTGAGAAGGCAGCAGATCTCTCTGTAACAGGCACACACAGGGCTTTGGCTGCTCTTAGCTGGTACAGTAATGATGTGTCTAGACCTAACCAAAACATTGCCTCCTCTCTTGAATCAATATTTACATGAGATCATCAGCATTTATGGTATAAAGCATGGGTTTGATCATCAAGTCCATTTATTTTTAGCTTGCACGCAATATTTTCTCTTTTCAAAGTATTTGCATAATGAAGGAATAGAAAACAGCAGCCATATCTCAGTTGCTGTTGTTTCTTGGCAGTAATTTTCCAAAGGCTAGTAAGCAGTCTAGAGCAGCACCCAGGGAGGGGGAAATAAAATGACCACAATCTTTGTCATCAGAATTTCAAGGTAGCTCAAAAGACAAATAATGCCCCTATAACATATGCAATGTGGAGAAACTAACGTTACATTTAAGCAGTTTAAAGTTCTGCAGGTGCTATAGGCTCGTGCTTATAATTTGCTTGTGCTTCAAATTGCTTGTGCTTCAGATTTCCCCATATATCACCAGGTAAAAGGGGAAAAAACATTCTGCCTTCAATTTTATTCCTGAACTTTGTGTTCGTTTTTACTCACTGCCCATGCTGTACATGCTGATAGTGAAATTTTTGGGTTCTGGAAGTCAGTAGCCATCAAAAATTTCCATAGAGCAGAATTTGTTCTCAGGTGCTTTTAAATGTCATGATTCTAATAGTTTGATTAAATGTCACACAACAAATACAGATATATATATATATATACAGTCTGTGATCTAGATTACGTTTTTACTCCAGGACTTTCATACTTCCCTGGCTAGCTCCTTCCATACACATCAGCCTTTTGGAAAGGTTATTTGTTTCTTGCAATTAAAACAAATAAACAAATAAATAAATAAAGCAGTTATTACACTTATTTAAAATTGCCTTCTGTTCTTCCATACATTTTGATAGATTACACTCCTGAAATAGTTTGAGGTTATTTAGCTAATAAAAGAGGTCTTGGCAGACTACTCTGCAGCATCTGCCTTGGAGACTATAATTAGAACTTCAGGTTCTTTTGCTGGTGGAATTCATCCTTGCGCTGGTTTCTGTTCCCTTATTCCTTTGGGAAAAAAAGGGTCCTAAAAATGTAAACCTGTCATTTCCACACCTTTTTGGTAAGAGAAGTGTAATTGAAATATTTATAAATGAAGTTAGAAAACAGTCTAGGAAATCTCTATTCTGTATACAGGAAACCTATTGTGAATAGGTCTCTGAAAGTTCCCTTCTTAGACTACAAAGATAGCCAAGATGCAAAAATAGACAATTTTCACTGAAATAGCAGAGTTGTGGGGAGTTTTGGGGTTGGGTGTTTCTTTGGTTTTTTCCTTTGTCAGCAAAATGTATAGTCTGGATAGATTTATCAAAAGTATTCGCACTTGTCTTTAGAAGATCAATTAAAAGTTAGTGCAATTTTTCATTTTCTGCTGTTTCTAGGGCTTCCACTCCCTTTTTGAAGGCTTTCTGAATTGTGTAGCTCTCTTCCCCTGCATTTGCAGTTCCCACTGATGGCTGTGGAACTGTGATTTTTTTTTTTTTTAATGAATATAAATAGCTCTTGAAGTGTGGCCAAAAAGTCCCCCTTTCTTATTGCTTTACTTTCATTCTTTGACATTGTGGACTACAGCATGTGCAGTTTTGGGTGCAAAGCTGGTCTGACCCTGTCTGCTAGGAAGAATAATGCCAGAGATCCCAAAAGCAATTAAAATTTTCCATTACTGGATGTAGAGACCTAAGTGTTGCCTTTTCTTTGTCCATTTGGTCAAGCACTGGGAAATGGTTTTGAACCAGTAATGTGTTAATGCTGAGATATATAAAAAATGAGCACATTTAACTGCAAACCCAATCAGCCCTGACTTCTTTTTTTGGTTTGATGTTATTTAACTTTAATGTGTGGTCGGTTGACTTTAAGGAGACAGCCCATGCAATTATCTACAAACAGTAATTCACAGCATGTGTAATTGCATAGAAAGTCATTTTGGTAGGTCATATTCTGGGTTTTCTCTGAAGCAGTTTGTTTAGTGTTTGTGCTTATCTCATGTGTAATTAATCTTCTTTAATTAAAGGCTTTTAATTATGTAACCGCTCTGTAGTGTATATATTGTTGAAATACAGCAAAATGGTAAAAGAAATCTCTTCAGCTCAAGAAACATGTGAATGAAATCTGTGAATTCAGATAAGTTGTGTGCATATATAAACAAAAATGTTTTGTGTATGTGTACATATGTATACACACACTGAAAGTACTGATTAGAACCTACAGTCATCTGTTTCAGGATGCTCTAAAGTTCTGAAAATACCTTCTAGATCAGTGTTTATTAATTTCTAGAGTGTTGCCTGTTCATTACTCACTGTTTTCCAAATGGGATGTTGAATCTTCTGTGTGTTTCCTCATTTGTTCCCTTTTTATTGAAGCTGCTGCAGCGAGGCCAGAGGAGGCACCAAGAGGATCAGAGGGATAGAGAGGCTCTGTTGGGAGGAAAGGCTGGGAGAGTTGGGATTGTTCAGCCTGGAGAGGAGAAGCTTTGGGGTGACCTGATTGTTGCCTCCCAGTAGCTGAAGGGGCCAAGAGGAAAGATGGAGAGAGACTCTTGACAAGGGTCTGGAGAGACAGGACAGGGGGGAATGGCTTCCCACTGACAGAGGGTGGGTTTAGATTAGATATTAGGAAGAAATTCTTTATTGTGAGGGTAAATAATTATGGGGGTTTTGTAGTAGTTAATACTAAACATAAACCCTACTCTGCTGTAACAGCAACAACATGACAAGAAAGCAGCTACAGAGTTCTTTTCTTCTTGGTTTACAATGCTTGCAGGCTATTTTTACACCTTGCCTCTCTTACCAGCTGAGGCTGATAAAGGTTCTTTATCCCTATTCTTTTCAGTGCTGTCCCTGATTCCAGAGCAGAGCTTAGACTCTGAGATGAGCTGCTGTCGCATCTGTCAATGCTAAATTTCACTATCTGTGGAAGTCTGAGAGTGCTCTCACGGATTATGGCTCTCATCTTTCATTTATCTCTCCCTCCTCTGCTCCAGAGGAACAAACTGAAAATAAAACATACATGTTGTTTCACTAAAAAAGAAAAAATAGCCAGAATAATTTTATTTTCCTTTGGGTGTTTCCTGTTAGTGAAATGCTGATTATTTTAGCTCATCAGTATTTGCCACTTTCCATCTCCTGATATTTGTGCTTCAAGTGTTTTTGAGACAGTCGCTGACTTCTGCAGCAAATGATCTTTACAAATATTTCTGTTTTTTTCATGAGTCTGGCTAGAATTTCAGCTCAATTATAGCCTAAATAAGTTCTTCACATAAGAGTGTGTAGATAGTAAAAAAGAATTCTCATTGCAGCAAAAGTACATGGGTGAATCCTCCCCCGTTGCTTTTTGGTGTGGGAATGGTGTTGAATTGTGCCATGACCCTCACTGGTATTTGTGTATTTTTATTAAACAACAGACCAGCAATGCATTAATCTCAAGCCCCATGTCAGTCTGAGCAGTTACTGAAATATCTTTTTCTTTCTTTCTTTTTAACAGTCAGTGTTGGGTAGCCTGGAAGTTGCTTGACTGCCTTTTTCCCCAAACTGCCTCACAATTAGAGGTGATGGGGTCTTAAACGTAGGTAGCTGCTATCAAAAGGCTAGTTTGAAAACTTGAAAAAACATCAAAAACTGAGAGAGGCAGAAGGTGGCCTTTCCCTGTGTTTAAAAAAACCCAACCCAATCAATTAATTATTTTTTTCCTTTGTTTCTGCAGGCCTGTGTGGTAGGATGGGTGTCTGCACCCATCTGCTGCACCCAATATTGTTTATTTGTGTTGATACCTAGTTCTAGCAGAAGGGTTGAAGGAAGAAGTGGATCAGACACAATCTCTGTTTTTAGCAGAACATCCTCGCTGCGAAGCAGCTCAGGAGCTTCTGTCCAGCAGGGATTGCACAGGGGCCAGCAGGGAAGGAGTAGCTGAGCCAGTGGTTTTGTACCTGTGCCTGTTCAGGGGTGACAGGGGTCACACCCACATCTTCCTAAAAATGGTGCAACAACATGACCTACAGCAGCCCAGGGCCAGGTTGGCAGCTTAGTGCTGACAGCTCTGACAGCAAATGCTGGGTCCCTGCTAATTGCCTAGTTTGAGAGAGCTGCTGAATCTCATGTGCCCAATGCCCACAGGGAAGTCAGATATAATATATTTGCTGGGAAGAGCAGCTGGATTCAGAGACACTTCCTGGAGCCTTCCCCTCCTGCCTACCTTCCCTCAGGTACAGCTGCTTCTTTGATGTTTTAAATTAGGCTGTCGCCACTCATTTCCTAATCCATCTGAAGTCGGGTTGTAAATAGGCTCCAAATAAATCTAAATTTAAAAATTGGTTTTAGAAAACCCCTGAGCATTGTTTCTCTTCTGTGACGTGCAGAGGCGCAGTTGCATATGTCTGTGAGCGTGGAGGCCTCCTGTCTCAGCACCTCACCTGCTGTAGGAGACCTAAATCCACCTGGGAGGTTCCAGCTGTCCATGCCTGCTGCCAGTCTCCCTGCTCTTCCCTCTGCCCAGCTGAGA